AATCAAGGTTTTTAAAACCGAGTCGGACAACAAACTGTTCAAGGGTCTGGTTCCCAGGTCGAATGGTCCAACTGTTCGAACCGAATAAACAACCCATTCTGACAAAAAAAATAGAAAATAAATAAACAAATGGCCAAAAACCATTGGACGGTTCGACCACCCAGGTTAGTGGTTAGCTGACCAAATCAATGGTTTTTGGCCAAAAGATGGTTCTAGGGTAAAATGATGCCTGGTTCCCGATTTTTTTGGTCCAGTTTTGAAAACCATGATTAAAATTGTTATTCGCAAATTTAATTAGTGAAATTTTATGACAGGAAGCAAAAATATATTAAACATATGATTCTATGAGAGAAAATGAAAGTTAACCCTAAATATGAGACCTAACGAGAGAGAATATAATGAAAATGAAAAATAGTATTCGATTTACAATTTATATCTTCATAATAGAGAGAGAAAGAGAGAGGGGTCTTTTAAGTCAAGAAAAAGTCCAAAATCCTTAAAGATCTATTGCCACTTCTTATAGATTACAAGTAATTTTTAATTCATCTACAAATCAACATGTAGCTCCAAGTGTCTAGAGTAATTAAATTCATCCAGCTAAATACTCCTTGCAATTTCAATTATAACTCATTAAGTTCTGTAATTTATAGATGTCTATTTAGACACATTGTGAGTTATTTAAAAAAACCAGACATGTTGTTTAGATATTTAAGAAGCATAAAAGAATTCCATTTTTATCCTCTTATATAATCCAACAAGAAATTAACAATGGATGACTCAATTTTTTATATTTTGATCTCATTTTAATAATCAACAACATACTTGATTTGCCCTCAAATTCAAATACAAAATCATTAACACAAAGGGGATAAATACTTCTTATAGATTTCCAAGAACTCTAGGGATTTTTAGTGATTATCCCAAAAAATAAAAGTCACTAATTTGTAAAGCCGTTTTTTAACTTGTCTTACAATTGCTCCCTTGCCTTCTCTTGGGCCTTAAAAGAATTGACTTTGAATTTTGTCAATCTTTTTGGGGGTATGTTCATTTGAACATCATTTGAAATAGAGGAATTACATTTTTATTTTCTTTTTCTTTTTCTTTTTTTTTACATGGGGCTACACATCAAGGGCGGTCCATTCCCCAGACCTGTAACCCCCAACTAGGAATGGCAATGGGGCGGGTTCAAGGTGGGGATTATATTCCCCATCCCCGACCCCGATTATGAAATTAACCCTTGTCCCTGTCCCCGATCCCCGCCGAGGATAAAATTTGTCCTCCATCCCCAATCTCCGATGGGGATGGGTTCCCCGCGGGAACTCGAATCCCCGAATTTTTTTAGATAACAATATTTATTTGAAAAATAAATTTACTTAAAATAAATACAAATTTAAATTACAATAATTTTTAAATATGTTTTGATATATATAAAATAAATAATATAATAATATATACACATAATTGGGGTCGGGGTGGGGTGGGGATCTCAATCCCCATCCCCGACCCCGATTAGAAGAACCACATTCAAAAATTATTTGATAAGGATCAAATCTTTAATTGTGATGTTCAATTTCCAATCCTAAATTTTCTTCTTAATTTTAATTGTGATGTTCAACGCTTTCTTATCAATTATGCCTTGAATAATTGGGGTACCAATGTATTTTTCTTTATTTGTTGATATTGAGATGCTCATAATCTTAGAATTCAAATTTTAAACCCTATATGGATTTTTTTTAAATGACTTTTTAAAATGGATATTTCGGATAAGACCCTCTCAAACATCTTGAGATTGAGTAGAAACTACTTATAAACCAATGGAAAATCTAACCCAAAAACCATAGTCAAAATTGTGGAACCACACTCAAAATCCACATTTTAAAATCATTAAATAGTGACAAATGAACCTACTTTAAAAATGACCAAATAGCAATGATTTTATTTAGTATTAATTAAGAAAGAGTGAGAGATGCATTTAGCTAAACACCCCATGAAATTTCAGTTATAATTTCATCATTAATTAAAAGAAAGATAAATACATCTAGCTAAACACTCCATGAAATTTCAATTACAATTCATTTAAGTAATTCATTTAAAACAATCAACAAAATATCAAATTTGTCATCAAATTCAAATATTAAAGCATTAATACAAAGGAAAAAAAATTGTCCAACTAAAATTCCATAAATTTTTAGGGGCTATTCATACTTTTTAAAGTAGTATAGATTTTTCCATTACAACGCACACTATTATATGTATATGAAACTGATGAAACGCTTTTCCATTGCATCGTTTTGTAATGGATACAAAAGTCGAATCTCCATTTCCAAATAACACATACACCCTAAATAGTAAGATAATGCAAGTAAAAAATGGCCATAGTTAAGAACCATCTCAATTATGAATGAAGAAAATTCCTAAAAGAGCACACTCTCTATGGCCCATGTCATAAAAAAAATGGTTATATATGGAAATTAAAATACCTAAAGAGGTTTAATGGACTTACTAACAGCTTGCAAATCATTAATTGTCTCAAGGATCTTAAAACACCCATGGCTTTTGCCCACAACTATAGTTAAGGGCATCTAATGACCCCTTTTCTTTCTTACTTAACAAGACCCATGCATCACACGAGTCCTAAAGCTTGGTTACACATGCCAATAAATTAGGGGTCAAAGTTAACAAAGCTCGTGCATCGCACAAGGCCTACTAGTACACCATATGCATGCCTATATATGTGATTGTTATGCAATTGAGATAGACTTTCTTGTTCTGCTTATTTTATTTTTTACAAAAATAGCAAAATATTGATTTAGTCGGCAAATCATTGGCCCATAATGTATAACCATTGAACCATTCAATCCGGTCAATGGTTAGTGGTTTGCCTTTAAAGAGAATATACAATAATTTAAAACAAAACAAAACAAAAACACTTTTATGTCTTATTCCTATTTCGTAAAGAGTCTTTTACTGAACAATGTAATGTTTGTTTTTTTCTTTTTTTTTTCCCTTTTCATTTGAGTCTTTGTCCATAAACTCCTCATTTGATCCCTTAATGGAAGCAAGGCCCTCTAATAGAGATGCAAACAGATTGGATTGGACTCGAATCAGGGTATATCTGAATCCGATATAACACTATTAACTGCAAATTCAATCCGATATGAAGATTTGATTGGATCTCATAAACATGGATTTGAATTCGAATCCGATGAGACAATCATATTTTTCGGATTTGATCCAATTCGATATGATTTATTTAATAAATAAATTATTACAAAATATAACAATTTAAATAAAGAAAAACAAAAAATACAAGTATCTTTTCAACTATTTTGATTACATATATATTATAAAAAATAAATAATATAACAAAACTACAAAAATCAATATAAATAATATATATGTATATATATCAAATAAAATATGGGTGATTTGAATGCGATCTAATTTTCCTGTTCGGATCCTATTATCTGATATGAAGATAAAAAATGGGGCTTTTTGAATCTGATAACATATGATCGGACTTTGGACTAGATTGAATCATGATCTGATCCATTTTGCACCCAAACCCTCAAAGTCTATGCAAAACATGGGGAGTGCAAATGGATCAGATCATGATTGAATCCAATAAAATTGGATTCAAATACCCATTGTCAAATTTTTAAATCAAATTAGATCATAAAGTAAGATTCATTTTGAAATTGGATCAAATTGTCACCACCCATATCCAAACCTATATATATATATATACACGTGTATATATATGTTACATATAAATAAGTATATGTTTATATATTATATATAAATATATATTTTATAAATATATTTATATTGCATATATCGAATTGAATAGGATTCTTATTGGATTCCGATAAAATGATACGAATTGAATTTAAATCAGGGAAACCACAACCAGTGACTATCATCTTGAACGGTGGACAACCAATATTGAGTCTATCATGTTCACATCAATCTCATTCCACTATCTTTAGTTTGAACTTTAATCTTCAATTAGGTCGAGTATGTTAACCTTTTTTCTAGGTTATAGCTAAGGAATTGGAGGTCTAAATTGTGCAAATGATTTGTTAATGTTGGGAAAATTAATTAACATTTTAGTTTTTTATTAATTACTAGTAAACATGTACGTGCATTTGCACGTGATAGTATCTCCAAGACAAAACTATTTATAATTCATGGGCAGTTTTTGAACAGTTATAAGTGGACAGTTTTTTGAGTGAGAATAAATGACATATATGCCCTTTTTATGCCCGTTGTATGCTGCTTAGATAAAGGGTAAAAATGTCTAATGAAAAGTACAGAAAATGGGACTATTCACTCTTTTATTAGTAGTATATATTATCTTATTTATAACATCATGAGTTGATTTCTTCATAGGCAAAAGCAATTACGTTTTATTGATATTTATTTAGAACATTGGAGTTGAGGCAACCCATGCCCAATATTAAGATTCAAACTTCAAGCACAGGCCTGGCCCAATCCAAGATCAAGTCCAAATTTATTAATATAGGCTCAATTGAGTTTAACCCAACACTAATTGGGTAAGTCTCAAGCTCGGGTTGGATTGGTCAGGTTAAAAATAATTTTTGATTGCATTTTTATATAAGCAATTTTTATTGGGCTTTGGAGCCCAATTATAATATTTACAAAAGTACACTATATAATTATGAATTTCACTACAATTCTATACAATTCAAAATGACAAATACCTCCACTCTAAAACACCTACCCCAACTGTACTGTGGGCTAAGGATTCTTAAGGTGTGCTAAACAGTCATTCTTCATAAAATTTATTAAAAAATGCATATTGAGATATGGATTGAATTGGGTTAGGCCGGGCTAAACCGAGCCCTTAACCCAAGTTTAGGTTAGGCCTGCACCTCCGTAATAGTATCCACAAAATTTGACTTTAAAAAGTAATTGCATCAAACGCGAGAAAATAAAAGTAACTAGAGATTGCTTGCGTCCGCACTGCACACCCTGAGAAAGAGAAGTAGAGAACAGAGCCAGAGCCAGAGATAAAAGGAGAATAAAGCACTTACAGACACTCTCCTCTCTCCCTCTCGAGGTTTCTTCCCTCGAAAAAAGCTCCCATTGAAACCGCCCGTCTCAGGTAATTTTAATGCTCCCCTCTTGTTCAATCAAATTGATCGATCGCCTTCTTATTTTATTTTACCTTTTTTTAATATCTTGTATGCGATTTTCTTCTAAAGATCTTTGCTTTAACGTATCCGATGATTTACCCAGAGTAGGATTTAGATGCAGGCCTTCGCCATGGTTGTTTCTGATTTTTTAAAACGTAAGCTTGTTAGTAAATTGTCGACCTAATCCGTTAAATGCGGAAAGATCTAATTTTAACCAGATTTGAGTACTGTTAGGGTTTAATTGGGTAGGATTTCAATGCGGAGGAAGAAAGTTGCAGATCGGGCTGTAACATATCGTGTGGACTTGAGTCGTTTGAGGACACCGGAGTTACTTGAAGTTCTGGTGCTTTGTCAAGTTCAATCGAGACTGGAAACTGAGCATCGATAGAGGGTTGCTGTGATAGGCTATGTTAAAAGTTCTTGAGCAGAAAAGAGTGCAAGCTGGTAAAGTTATGAATTATGGGATGAATTATTGCTATTTCGAGTACGCAGCAATGAACGATTGTAATGCAGTTCAATGTTACGTTAGTGTTGTGCACCACAATTTGGTTTCCATTGGAAATTATGAATTAATGAGATTGGTTAGGTAGTGTTTGCATCGTGAACTTCCAAGAGTAGCCCGTTCTAATCCGATATGGTAGGGTGATGGCCATCAAATTTAGTTTAAGGCAGATGAATGTGTAACATGTGTGCTGGATGCCTGGATTGTTTTGCCTCCTTATAGGAGAAGCCCAACAACATTCAAAAAATATGAACAAGGTGAAATGCTTTACATGATTAATTTACTCAGATTTGTGGACGTGTGCATCCTAGCTTACTGGTGTTAGACTTGATATGCAGCTGATACAACACTAATTGCTGCCTGGATGCTTTTATAGTATTACTGTATTAGTATTTTTAAAATGTATAAAATGGTATGATTTAGCAAATGATACCTTAAAATTTCTGTACATTTTAGAAGTTTAACTAAATTTTGCTTTGGCAAGATATAAATATTGAGCAATAATCCATTGTTTTAAAAAATAAACACAGAGGCCAGAAAATGCAAGCATATTAAATGGGTATTGTACTCTGTCATTGTCCAGAATCTTAGGAAATGGAGACTCATATCCCTTTTTGTATCTGTATTTATGTTGATATCTTATCTGGACATCACAAATTAAACGACAAAACAAGAATCCAGTGGTGGAAACATATAACAGCGGTTTTCAGGCTGAAATTTGCCCCACCAATAGAGGATGATGTGCAGATAAATTTGGAGTATGTCTGTGCACCAAAATGCCCTGTGGAAAATTCCTTTGTCGTTTGTGTCTGTTCTCCAAACGTGTCAATGACCAAATCTGTATCATGTGGAAGATTCTCCATCTGCCTTATTTGGGATGATGGCTCTAGAGTTTGAAAAAGCAGCATTACCAAGAATAGTTAAATTGTAGTTTTCTCAATTATCACCTATCTTTTCAAGGTTGTTTTTGAAACTCTCTCTATATATTATTGATGAAAGTACCCACCAGATAGTCTTTTGGACTAGTGGTAGCAGTGCTTGAGAATTATGCCTCTAATTCCTCTAGAAGTGTTTATTCTGATGCATTGTTTCTTATTTTGACACAGTTTTTCCTTGTTGGTTTCTGTCAGGTGCTAATTGGCATTCCTGGAAGGATGGGAAGTAATGATGCCAACGAGTTAATGATTTCTGGGAGTGATGAGGCTGAATGTTCTGAGGCCACTGTGGAGATAAAGATAAAAACATTGGATTCTCAAACATATACTTTGAGAGTGAATAAATGTGTAAATACCATTTTTTTCATTGTTAATTCTAGTAATCATTTTTCTTGTTGTCTTCAGTAGTCCAATTTTTTAATCACTTCTTTTCTAAGGGTACAAAACTCTGATTATTATTTTTTTTGTACCATGCAATTTACTATCAGGTAGTTGCATTTTATTTCTCTATTTGTGCATTAATGTTAAGTTAAACATTTTGCTGCATTTATTTTTTATGAAGTATTTTAATCCACTAATATTTATATATCCATAAATGTGCAACTGTAGAATTGCGTATTTCTCATCTCAAATGCCACTCTTTTTATTTGTTTATTTATTCTTTGCTTGGGAGAAAAATTGTCTAGAATGCAATTATATTTCTGTATGCATGTGGTCATTATCTGTATGCGTGTGGATGGATTCTTTGTCACGGTATCTTCCATCTTCCAATGATGAAATGTTCTTGGTCATTCTTACACCGTCAAAGTTTTATCTCTCTAAAGCGGCATTGAGCTGTTAAATTTAGCATTTTGTTGTTGTTTTTTTCTTTTTTTTTTGATAATTGGTAATTATATTCAAACAAGGAGAGATTCCCTCCAAACTCTACAAAGGCTTTGCAAAAATGCTATGATGTTAGTATGTTACTATCCAAAAAAGCAGATATAAGGATCAAGGATTCAAGCCAAAAACAATCCTCCACTGATTCCTGAAATTCTTAAAGGAAAACCCTGAAAAGCTGAAAGGCATAAAAATTCAAATTCACCAGAACACTTTCAGCTTTTGACTGTTTTCTCCTTGCCCGGGACTGCATTTCTGTTCAGAGTTTCTACGATTTCACTTCCACCAAACACTCCAAGTCTCCAACAGATGGAGAAAGGAGTCAGGTTCCATATGATCCTTCCTCTTTTGCTGACAACCAAGGATGGCCAAGCTGCAACCAGATCTGTCAGCTGAAAGTGGCATCACCCAAGGGCGGTTAAGGAGCTACAAGACACATGACCAGATGCCATACCTGAGGGGACAATATATCAGGATGTGATTGGCTGATTCCAGGGCAGCATTAGTGCATTACACTCAACCTGTCAATTGTTAGGATTTCCTCCAAAATGGCAGTCCATAGAAAAAAGGTTACCTTGGAAGGAATATGAGCTTTCCTAATCCATTTCCATTGGAGAGACTCACCCCTACAATCCTGCTGAACCTCATAGTGTGAGCTAATGGAAATCCTCTTTAGCTGCAGACCATGCTTTGTGGTCTTGGGAACCTGTCTGAATTTGCATTTGCATGAGACTGATCTGCTCTAACAAGGCCATCAACCTGTCTGCTTCTCAATTGAATATACTACACATAAAAACAGGTCACCACTACTTGGCCACCTATAATTTCATAGTAATTCATCAATGCTGCCTCTTTATCCCTTGCTAATCTGAATAAGGATGGATATGATTCAGACAATGGGCTATCCCCACGTAAATGGATTTCCAAGAAGAAATTCAATCCCCCTCACCAGGAGCAAATCTGATAAATTGGGAAAACTATTGCTACCCTTCATGATCCCCTTCCATAAACTGAAGCCATAAGATGCAATGACAAGTGCTGACTCCTACCCAAAAGGAAGACTACCATATTTTTGATGAATGGTCTGTCTCCATAAACCCTCAGCTTCTTCACCAAAATGCCTAAGCCATTTTCTCAGTGGCTTCATTCATATGGGACAGATATCGAATTCATAGGCTCCCTAATTTATAAAGCACGCATACCTTGGGACCAGGCATCCAGGTGGAACTTTTTTCTCATCATTGAGACTCTCCCATAGAAAACCTCTTCTCAGTTGCTTCATTTGAGTTAAAACAGAGGGTGGAGCTTTGAACAATGATATGTAGTATATTGGAAAATTTGATTAGGCACTTTGAATGAGTGTTACTTTATCCCCTTTCGACAAATAGCCCTTCTTCCAGCTGGACAGCTTCCTCATCCTCTCCAAGACAGGATCTCACGATTCTTTTGATCTACAATTCACACCTAGTGCAGGCCCACAAATTTATAGGGTAGTGATCCACTCCTACAGTCCAAAGTTGCTACTTACTCCCCAATGTTTGGCACATTCCCGAATCCCGACAAGGTTTACTTCACTCTTTAAATTAATTTTCAACCCTGAGACTTCCTCAAAGAATATAAATAAGCATCCTAAGAAGATCATATCCTATTTCTCTGCCCTTGAAAACAGGATGGAGTAATCCACAGGTTGAACAAGGGCAGTGGGCTGACTACTTTCCCTGACACTAAAGCCTTCTAATAACCACCCTCCATGGCTCTATTTACCGTTTTTGAAAGGGATTCAGCCACTACAATGAAAAGAAATGGGGAGAGAGGATCATCTTGTCTTAATCTTCTTTTCCTTGCTAATTATGCTTTTGGGCTGCCATTTACAAGGATTGTGAGCATTGCTGAAGATAGACAAGCTTCTATCTATCCCTCAAATGCGCCCCAAAATCCATTTTCTGCAATAATTAGTCCATAAAATTCCAGTGGACATGGTCATAAGTCTTTTGCATGTCCACTTTGCAAATAAAACCTGTCACTCCTTGTCTCTTAGAATCGATGCATTCATTGGCTATTAGAGACATGCCCAAAATCTGCCTGCTATCTACAAAATCTCCTTGGGATGGAGATACAGTGGAGTTCAATACTTTTCTGTCTCTGTTTGCCAGCACTTTGGACAACACCTTGCAGATGCTCCCACTTAGGCTAATGGGACAATGGTCTTGGATATCTGATGCCCCTGCAGTTTAGGAATCAAAGATATAAAGGTCATATTGGCTGCCTCCTATATGTTTGAATTTGCAAGAAAATCCTGCAACCAGTACATGTAATCTTGGTTCCTTCCGGGGTGGACGAGAGAGTGTGGATCCCAATTGCAAATTGCATTTTTACCTGTGCTTCCTTCTTTAATTGCCTAATTCATGCAGATGATAATCCAATCTTTCCATCTAACGAGTTGTGGTCAAGCTTGATTCCCCCTAAAGTGGAAGATTTTCTGTTGGGAGGCAGCCAAGCAAATCATACACACTTGTGAGAGACTCCAAAGAAAGTGGAGAAACTGGTCAATTTCCCCTCATGCGTGTGTTCTTTGCCTAAAGAATGGTGAAAATACTAATCACCTTTTACTATGCTGTTCCTATGCTTCTTGGGTTTAGCAGTATTTCTTTTCACTGGTTGGAAGAGAATGAGTAACACCTCTTGAAGTGGTTGATTTGTTCAAAACAGGGATGATGAATGGTGCCACGCAAAGGCAGGCAAAGAGTTCTGTGGGATTGTGTAGAGCTGTCTTGTGGGGGTTGTGGTGCAAAAGGAATGCGAAAATCTTTGAAGAGAAACACAAGCAGGTTGAGGAGCTAATTGAACTAATAACCTTAAGAGCTGCGCACTGAGCCATCAAATGTAAAGAATTTTCTGTTGCATCTCTTAATGATTTATTGAGAGGTTGGAATATTGTATAGCTGGTTTCTCCACAAGTAACCCCCAAAGTCTTTGGTGTGGACTCCATTGGCAGTACAGAGGTATAATTTTTATTTCAATGGGTGCTGTTTGGGCAATCCGGGAATGTCTGGAGTGGGAGGAGTGGTGAGGGACAGTCAAGGCATCATCATCCTTAGTTATTTGGGTCCAACTGGGGAAGGAAATTCTCAATGAGGAGAGTTATTGGCTCTAATTCAAGGACTAAAGCTTATAATGATGCAAGGGTGGAGGAATGTGAAGGTGGGAGGTGATTGTCAAACATTGGTACTCAGACTCAATCTCCTTGGCAGTTCATACCGTTCGTGAGACTGGCCTGCTCTCTAGGTTAGGACCGTTGGTGAGACTGGGCTGCTCTCTAGGTTCCAATTTGAACCCCTCATTCAACTGGGTTCCTAGGAGTGCTAATACAGCAGCAGATTCCTTGGCAAGAGCTGGGGTGGGGAGTTATGCTTTGGTTTGGGGTTGCCCTGGACCAGGATGTATCCTGTAATATTTTCTCTTGTTTCTGAGTGGTTTTGGTTTTGCTTTTGAGCTTGTATTGTTCTTTGGTCAGCTGCATTGCTCTGGTGTGGCTGGCCCATGTCCCTATTTAATGAAATGACTTCAGTTATTTATAAAAAAATCTTCCCTCATGAAGTTTCCAGCATCTTTTGAAGAATGCAATTGGAAATTCCTCAGGAAACATGTCCAAAGTTTTTTTTATTTTTTTATTTTTTTTGATCACTAACAGTTTGTTTTTCTTAATTTTCTGCAGATTTTTTCCCACTTTTTTGTAGCACCAAAACAAAAATAATCATTATTGGGTTTGGGGGAGTAATAAGAGATGAGAATGGTGTTTTACTTGCAATTTACTCCGGCCCAATAGGGGAAATGGGTTCCATTAGGGCGGAACTCAAGCCAGCAGTGGTTGGGGTGCAAAAGGCAAAGGATATGGGGGTTGATAAACTGGTTATTGAAGGAGATTCCAAAGTGATTGTAAGCTGGTTATCAAAATGAGTTGCAGCAAACTGGAACTACAGAAATGAAATAAGATGTTTTGACTGGTTTTCTAGAGATTTGCAACTGGTAACTCAATGGGTACAAAGATCAGCCAACAATTATTTTGGGCTCAGTTGTAGTAAAGTATGACTTGGATTTGGTATGAGATAGCAAGGGCTATGTTCATGGCTTTTATTTTACTTGTAAACCAACAACTTCTTGTTGTGCTTGGTTGTTCTTAATTAATAAATTTTGACATATTTTGTTAATAAAAAAATAAATAAATAAACAAAAGATAGTAAAAGTCTTCTATCAGTAGGTACGACTACCTGCCATTCTGGTTTGCAATCCAATGTTCCCGCCATAGAAGAAAATCAAGAGATTAGAGTTATCCCAATCCCGTAGACTCCTTTTCCTTCTTGTCCCTTTTATTGACAAGGTGTAAAGTGTATTAACATCAATGAAAAGGGCTAAAACTCTTGCATGACATTCAATTACTAACCATAACACTGATCTGTGTGCGGATCAAT